GAGAGCGGGGGTGGGGGGAGCCCAGACACCTGCGTTCATTGGGAGGGGAGGGGGTCTGTAGGGAGTAGGATACGGGGTCAGGGTGGCAACCTGGGCTCTCATCCTGCTCTGGGGACTGAGGGGTGAGGTCAAGGCAAGGGGGAGCCCGGACACCTGGGTTCCCTGGCAGAGACTTGGGGTCTGGGGGGCTTGGATGCCTGGGATCAGGGGAATGAGGACAGGGCTTGGACGGAGGGTTAGACTTGGGGTGCCACGGTTCCCTGGGAGGGGAGTGGGGTCGGGGACGGGGCTGGGTGACTTATTGGGGTGTCCCGGGGGGCAAAGACCTACAGGTATGGGGGCAGCCTCAGTCTGCGCAGGATGCAGCTGGCTCTGGGGTGGGCAGGCTGAGTGCAGTGGGCTCCAGTTGGCCCTGCTCTGGGGGCCACTCACCATCAGAGCAGACCCGGGCGCTGGTCCCTCACTCCTGGGTCTCTTCTCCAGCTCGGCCTGTCCAGGCCCCACTGAGGGGGTCTCAGGAGACACCCAAATGGGTGGGAGGCCTGTACAATGCTCCTGAGTCCCAACGTCTGTCCCACTCCATCTTTCTGGTGCTCCCTGGTACCAACCATTTCCCTTCAGCCCCTAAGGGAAAGGGACCTTTAAACCAGGCCTAAGATGCAGCCACCTCTGGAGGGAAGTGGGGGCGTCAGGGTGAAGGAGACGGGTCTGGCTGCGGTGCTGCTGCCTCTGGGGTGGAGAAGACTGGGGACACGGGGCTGCCATGCGGCTGGCTCCAGGGTGGACTGCGCTGGCAGCTGAGCAGAACAGAGGCCACTGGCTCTGGGGGGTCATTGGAGCCAGGGATATGGGCTCTGGCTGGATGCGGCTGGCTCTGAGGCAGGTGCTGGGGGATACAGGGCCCGGCTGGATGTGGCTGGCTCTGAGGCGGGTGCTGGGGGATACAGGACCTGGCTGGATGCGGCTGGCTCTGGGGTGTAGCACCAGGGCCGGGGAAAGGAGGAAGAGGCGAGAAGCCGGAGGTGTTTGGCAAGTGCGTTTATTGGGCATTTCCGTAATGGGGAGCGATGCTGGGCACAGGCTGTTCCTCTCGTTACACCCACCTGCCAACAGGCCCCAGGCCAGAGCCGCAGCCTGTCACCCCCACCCTCCCCACCACTTCCGGCAGGGCCCCAGCCCCCTGCCCAGATACCCCTGTGCCAACCTGCCCCATAGACCCGCCCAGCCCCCACCTCACTGCAAGGCAGGATAAGACCCCCACCCTCGCAGACATCCCAGGTGCGGGACCGGCTCCCTGCCCGCCCCGAAAGAACCAGGCCGCAGAGACTCTGTTTCGAGTCCGAGGGCTGAGGCCAGGCCGCCTGGGCTCCTGCGGGGTTGGTTCGGGCGGGGGAGGGGAGGGGGGCTGGGAACCCGGACAGGCGTTCCTGGTGCTCCACACCAGAGCCAGCTGCATCCAGCCAGGGCCCTAAGGAGGGGAGGGGGCTGGGTTCCCCATGGGGGGGCGGTCTCCAGGCTCCCCTCCAGCTCTCGGACTCCGGGGTCCTGAAGAAAGAGGCCTTCCCTCCCGCCCCCCAGCCCTCGGTCGCCTGGGCCCGCCCCAGCACGGAGACCCCCTGTCTAGGTCCTCGGACGCCTGGGTCCGCCCAGGCCGGGGAGGGGGCGGCAGCCGCGAACGCAGCTGCGACTGCGCAAAGTGCGTAGACCCACACGGAAGCTACCGCGCCAACAGTGTAGGCGGTGTCCAGAATACGACGGTCATAGACACAGAAGGGGTAGAGCGCCCGTCGCCACCTTAGGTGCGGGCAAGCGAAGCCCTAGTCCCGCCCGGCCGCGGCCATTATTGTTTGGGGTTGGAAAACCACGCCCCTCCTGGCAGTCACCGCCTTAAGTGCGGGCAAGGGGAGCCCCCGCCCAGCCAACCGGTGACGCCAAAGCGGCGGGGCTTCCCTCGTGACGTTACATGCTGCTATTGGTCCGCTGCGCCTCGCCCCGCCCCACCCTCTCCTTCTTCATCCCTCCCCTAGCGCCGGGGCGACCCCGAACTCGGGGCAGCGCGGACGGACGGAGCGAGAGACCCGGGGTAGCGCGGGCAGCCTGGGGGGGTCCTGGATCTGCGGGGGTCCCAAGGGCAGGGGAAGCCCCGGGATCTGGTTGAATCCGCAAATCCAGGGGGGAGCCCAGAGCTTGGGGAGTCCCGGGAGCGGGAGAAGGGCAGGGAGCTCCTCGGATCGGGAGGATCCCTGCGTCTGCGGCAGCTCCCAGGACCGGGGGATCCGCGGATCTAGGATTTGCTAGGATTCGCACCCCCTCGACATTTGCCCCCAGCCCGGCCATGCCGCCCCCGTGAGTATGTTCCGCCTCGAGGAGTTCCCGGAGGAGGA